TGGTGGGAGCTTCTGCTTCTGGGAGTCTAGTCGGGAGAGTCCCTTTCTTTTTAGACCTCCTGCACTCCCGTCCCCGAAAGGCTGGTGGCTTCTGGTGCCCACCTGACCACAGCAGAAGTCAATAAGGCGGGAAGAAACTTCTGTTACCACGGTGGCTTAGTCTTCCTGCACAACCAGTTGCTGAGCGTGGGCTGTCCTTGGCTGTCTCTGGGTCTTGCACCCATGGGAAGCTCTGAGGCAGGAACCTCGCTTAATTTCTAAATTAATTTGAAAGGGCAGAGCAACGCGCTGGAGTCCCAGAGGTAGCTCGTAGCGGAGGGCATGAATGACCTCCCCACATACCCATCCTAGGGGTACCTGGGACTCAGTTTCCTGGGAGCCGAGGTGGGAACAGAAACCCAGGGCCATTGGACGCGGCGGTGGTTTCATTATCGCTTCTTTCCGGTTAGCCAGGGCTGTGCTCCTGCTGGGCCTTGCTAGGTCAGTGGCTTTTGTGCTCTCCAAAGATTGGCAGTGATGAAGAAGCCTCTTAAAACAGTATTTAGGCTGACAGGTTTTTCTAGTTGAAGTATCTGCCTCTTGAGGGTGACTCAAAATTATAAGGGGGACTATCAGGGCCAATTAGCTTTTGAAAAATCAGGAATGTGCTTAAAATGCTAGCGAGTGGTTGTGAAGAGCAGGTTTTTTTCCACAGGGCAGGCAGTCTTTCCTTCCTCTTCCGGTGCTCTTTCCTTCCCATCAGCTCCTGCAAAGCCTGGCTGCTGGTGCCAGGGACGCTGGGGAAGAGCGGGCCACTGGCTAAAGTGGAATGAGCCGTCCCGGAGAGCGCTTTCCCAAGCCCAGGAACGAACCTGTGGTGAGGTTAGGGAAGGGCTGCAGACTTCGGGCAAGGTGAAACCAAGCCTTTTTTCTTCCCACGGTAACCTTAGCCATTTCCACCCGGTAGATGTCTACTTCCAACTCCCACTGGCATCTCCAGTTCCACACCGCCCCTCTACATGGTGTAGTCATCACCAGGGACTGGAGTTCACAGACTCAGGAGGGGTAGGGCACGGGCTGGCACCCTCCAACTGCCTTAGCGATTTGGGCCCTTCCCAGCAGGCGGGTGAGACATGGAGGGAGGATGGCCCTGCCTCTCCTGGGGGGGCGTCTGGCCAGCCTTGTGGGGGCATCACCAGTTTGGTGACAGGCGTTGGTGTCCTTTATTAAATTCCACCCCTTTCCCCTTAGAAGGAGATCATGGTACAAAGCCCAGGAGGGGCCTTAAGGTGTGAAGACCTTTCTGGGTAGAAGCCAGGGACTTCTCTCCACCACCTCTGGGAAAGTCAGTTGATTGGAGTTTTACCTTCAGGGTCAAGGCAGTGAGTGGACTGATGGGGGATCGTGGAGGGTGGGTGGGTTTTCCTGAGAGACTTTGTATAACGCTGAATGTGTCCAGAGGGATGAGTTTGCAGAACCTCATATTGGTATATTAAAGAAATAATAAAATAAAAAAGCACTTTAGGTTATTTTATCTTTAACCCAATTGCTGCAATTTCTTTTGTGTGTGTATATATATATATATATACATATATATACTTTCCACAAAGTTTTATTTTTTGCTCAGAATAAAAAGTTAAATTGAGGTGTGAAAAGAAAAGCACTTACCTTGGTGCAATATGTGTAGCTTGATGGTCGTTGTCCCATGTGGCCCTGGCCTGGCCGCGTTTTTTCCGCTCAATCAGAGCCCCGTGCTGTGAGGCTGTCTATAGGGAAACACTATTATGCATTCTCAGCAACTGCTCAATCTATGCAAGCCTTCCCTGTGTGCCCGAGGGCGCCCCTCAGGCTCTCTGAAGAACTGCTGCGGGTCCTGTTTTCTGCGGACTGTTGAGGCCCTTTCCCATCACTTCGTGGTCCCTTGCCATCTTGCCCCGCCCTCACCATTACAAAGTGATGCCTGGAAGGAAGGAACAGGTTGTTCCTAGGTAGAAACCTGGCACCTTCTAGACTTTTGTATTTGTAATCACGTTCTTTGTCCTTAACGTTAGAGACTTCCCCCAGAGTCACCGAAACCATTGATTTGTGGAACTGCAACAGTATTGCCAGAGTTTACATTTTCCTCCACCACCAGTCAGAAATCTGTTTGGGAGATGGTGGTGGTAGGAGGGGAGTGGGCAGCATGAGCCATTTCCCTACTGCTCCCCTCACCACCCGTGTTGGCTCTTTAAGCAAAAAGGTCTCCAGCCTTCATTAAATCCAGTAAACAAAGCTGTTAGTAATCTGCTTTATCGACTTTCTTCCTTCCCCCATACTCCTCTTTTGTCTGGGGTGGGGGGCCCCCTCCCCATTCTATCTTCAATTCTCAGGCTACTGTAGAATAGAGAAGTTTTGAAATAACACTTCAGCCAAAGCAGAAAAGATTTCCACAGATCAATATGCAAATGGTCCTGCTGTGACATGGATGGGAAATTGTCCATTCCCGAATATTGGGGTTGGGGGTGGGAGCAGGCGACAAAACTGAATTTTGCCTAGCTCTGGTTGGTAGTCAGTTTAGCCTGTTTCCTCTTGCATGTTTTTGGGGGACAGGGAGAGGGTCCTGTGTCTCCTCTCACGCCCTTGGGGGAAGCTGATGATCACTGTTGGGGCGTTTCTCACTGTTACCCTGTTCCGGAGGGCTTCTCAGTCTGCACTGAAAAATGCAAATTAAACTGGATCTCATGTCAATGTGTACATAGTACAAGCTTTTTTTACTGGAAGCAAAGTTTAAAACCACACACTGCCCTTTTGGTGGTGTTCCTGTTGGGCCAAAAATTGGGTGATAATGTAGTGTCACTTTCTCAGCTCAATGCAGTTTCTACTCTTTTTCGTATGGGAAAATTTTTCATAAAACTTTTTTTCACCAAAACCCAGGGGTGTTTTTTGCAATATCCTTGTTATCCTCGCAGTGGTGCCAAGTCAGAGGCCTCTCTTGCCCTTCTCCCACGTCCTTAGGCCTCCCCAGGGCGCCTTTGATTCAACAGTCTACAGCCTTTGTTGTTTTGGAGAATGTGAGGGTGGAGGGGGGGTCAGAGTTCAAGGTGGCTGTTACCTTTCCCTGTCTGGACCCTTTTGGGGGAAGGTGGCTGGAAACAGGTTTTTGCTGAATTTCTGGCTCACATCTTCTGGCCAGGAAAGGCAAGACCCACAGACAGCCTTCTTTTTTTTTTTTTTTTTTTTGACACACACTAGTAGTCATTGGCCGGAGGTCTTGGTGACAGTGTTTTAAAATCTCAAATTGTTTTAGTTGGATTCTGTAAAAGCCTATCAAGTTTATTTAAGTGTGAAACATGGGAACAACGGACTTCCACTGAGCGATATGAAAACGTTACAGGTTCAGTACTTCCAAAGGAAGAAACCTCCAAACCCAAAAAAAGAGTAAATATGAATTTGTATTTTTGAAGAATGTGAAATAATGGTGTTTGCTTAATTGCTCATTTTGTATAAACTTAATATTGTACTTTAAAATATCTGCTAAGAAGTGAAAATTTAACTTTTTGGAATTGAAAAAGCAATATTAAATACTAATGAAATCCTAATTAAATGCTTATTTAAATCTGGTAGTATCTGTGGCATTTCTTCCCAAACCCTCCCATGGTTGACAATTTCAACCCCCCCCCCCCCCCGCACCCTCCCCCCCCCCCAGGTGAGTCTTAGGGGACAGAAAGGAAAGGCCCATGACCAGGAGAGTCTGCAGGTTTCCTTTTAATCAAGGCTCTGCTAAAAGTGTTTTGTGGGGCCGGGAGCCCCCGAAGCATGAAATGGACATGTAACACCACTTGGATCCCCCAAAGCAGGCCAGGCCACTCTGGAGAGCGCTGCTGGTCTGCCCAAACCCGGGTAACCAGCCTGGGTGTTCGCTGGCTACATTCCAAAGCTCAGCACTGCCTTCAGCCAGGATGAAGTGGGAGTGAACCCGGCCGCCAGCAGAGCTGCCACCCCAGGCCGGGAGCCAGGTACCAGCCGCTGCCAGTGAAGACTGGCCCCTTTATTGGAGGGGGTTGTCCGGAGTCCAGCCGCCAGCCCCGGGAGGGAGAGAGAGAGGTCAGGACGCCCATCAGGGATGGTCAGGGCTCCGCAGCTCCGTCGCCTGCATCCTTCGGAAAGCCACCGCGGGCGGAGACGGCCGGCTGCGGAGGCGCTCCGGGCTTGGCTGACACGTTCTGGTGGGAACAGAAAGGAAAAGTGAGGCCGCGAGGCAAGGCCTTGGCTTAGGCCCCGCCAGGACTGGACTTTTTCAAAGGCGGTCGCGCAGACGAAGGGAGGTGGGGGGGTGCAGCAGGGGGGCGCAGCCGGGGGCGCGCAGCGGGGGGCGCCCTTCCACCGCCCACCCCCGGGCAGCCCAGCCCCGAGCCAGCCCAGCCCCGCGGCGGCCCCCGCCTCCCAGGCCCGGCCCGGTGGGCACTGACCCCGCCGCCAGCCGGCTCCGGGCGCCGGCGGCCCAGCTGCCGCAGCATCTCCTCGCAGGCGGCGATGGTGTCCAGGAGCTGCCGCTGCCGCTGCTCCACGGCGTCCAGCAGCTGCTGCGCGCGCTCATCCCGGGGCGGCTGCGGGGGCGGCCTCCCGCCGAGCCCCAGCCCCGCCTTCGCGCGGTCCACGCCGGCAGCCTCCCTGCCCGGGAGAGAGCGACACACGCACGGTCAGCGCCGCGCTCGCGCTCGCGCTCGCGCTCGCGGGGCCCGGGCCCCGTCCCCCCGCCCCGACGGGCCCGCTCTCACCCCCGCGACCAGTCTGAGCCCGCGCCCCATTCCATCTCCGCCTGCGCGGCCCGACCACCGCCCCCCTCTCGGCCGCCCCCCTCCCCAGCGCCGCGCTCGGGCTCCGCACAGCCGCGCCCCGCCCCGTCCCGTCCCCACCGGTCTCCTTCAAGCCTCCTGGGGGTCGCGGTCCCTTTAAGCGGCCCGGCGCGGGGGTGGGGCCGGGCCGCCGCGGCCGGAAGCTGGCTGGGCGCGTCACTTCCTCCCGGAAGCGGGCCCGGGCGGATGTCTCCGGCGCGCCGGTGCGGGGCGCTGAGGGCCGCGGTGGCTGCCGGCGCGGGGCTGAGCGAGGGGCCGGCGGGCTCCGCGCGGAGGGGCCGCCTCCTGCGCGCGCCGAGCCGGCTGCTGCGGCTCCCGGGGGGCGGGGCCGTGCGGGCCGCAAGCCCGGAGCGCGCCGGCTGGACCGAGGCGCTGCGGGCCGCCGTGGCCGAGCTGCGCGCCGGCGCCGTGGTGGCCGTGCCCACCGACACGCTGTACGGCCTGGCCTGCGCGGCGAGCTGCTCGGCGGCGCTGGACGCCGTGTACCGCCTCAAGGGCCGCAGCCACGCCAAGCCGCTGGCCGTCTGCCTGGGCCGCGTGGCCGACGTCTACAGGTGAGGCCGCCCCGACCCGGCCCCGCTGGGGGCGGCCCCGCGGGAGGGGCTTCCGGTGACATGCCCGGGAGACCGAGGCGCGGGGAGCGGGAGGGGCTCGGCCGGGCTCCCCCGGGGGGGGGGGGGCGGAGGGGGCGGGACCCGGAACCGGAGATGCGCGCCCTCCAGCCCCTCCCTGGGCGCCTCTGCGACCGCGCGCGCGGCGGGGCGGGGCGGGGCGGGGCGGGCTCCCGCGGCCTTAGACACGCGCACGCGCACGCGCGCGCACGGCGGAGGATGCAGAGCACGGCCCGGGACGCCGCGGCCCCGGGCAGGACCCTCGCCTCGTGCGACCCGGCCGCCGTGGGAGACCCCTGGAGCCCTGCGTGTCAAACCCTCGGGGAGCTGGAGAGCGGAGACGGGTCCCGCACGGCCCTGGACGAGGACCGGCCCTGACCCTTCATCCCCCGACCCGTGTTTCCAGGTACTGCCGCGTGAGCGTCCCCGACGGACTCCTGAGAGACCTGCTGCCGGGCCCCGTGACCCTGGTGTTGGAGCGCTCGCAGGAGCTCAATCGGGACCTGAACCCCTGCACTCCTGTGAGTCGCATCTTGAGCTCTTGCATCCCCCCCTCCCTTGAGACCCCTGCCATCGTCCACACGCGTCCACATGCATCCACACGCGCCTGCCAGAGCCGTTTCCCCACCCCTTACCGCCTCTCCTGACCCTCCTGACCCCCTGCGCCGCTCTTGTGTCCCAGCTTGTCGGCGTCCGCATCCCGGACCACGCCTTCATCCAGGATCTGGCCCAGGTGTTCGGGGAACCACTCGCTCTCACCAGCGCCAACCTTAGCTCCCAGGCCAGTTCTCTGACCGTCGAGGTGAGTCACCCGGTCCTCCCCGCCTCCGCCAAAGCATCACCAGGCCACACACACACACACACAGTTTCCTCTGAACCAGCTGGGTTGATGGTTCACTGGGGTGCCTCGCAGGAGGCTCTATCCATTTGGTCCGACGGTGGGAAGTCTGTACGGTTGGCACGGGGTGGGGGAATCCAAATTGAACTTGGAAACGTTTCATTAAAGTGTTTGAGAGGTGACAGGGAGAATTTTTTTTTTCCTACTGTCTTTTTTTTTTAAAAGATTTTATTTATTCATGAGAGACACAGAGAGAGAGGCAGAGACACAGGCAGAGTGAGAAGCAGGCTCCATGCAGGGAGCCCCATGCAGGACTCGATCCCGGGACTCCAGGATCACGCCCTGGGCCGAAGGCAGCGCTAAACCGCTGAACCACCCAGGCTGCCCCCTACTGTCTTTTTAATAATTAAAAAAAAAAACAACATCATGGTAAGTGTAATTTTTTCCACCACCGCCCCCCCCCCCCCTTTTTGTGGTGATAGCTGTTTGAAAAAATAGTTAGGCAAGAAGTCTTGACAACAGTGCTGTAAAGAAAGTTCTGGCTCTGAAACGTTAAATCGCTTGACCCAGGGACTCCCGACCCCGTTCTCTTCCCTGGCTACCAGTCTAGTCAGAGAAAGGATCATCCTAATTCAGTCTTGAACGCATAGCTTGGGGGGGGGGGGGGAAACGAGAACACAAAGAAATGTCACCCACCACACATTTTTCTTCTTCCAGAACTTGAATGTAAAATATAGCACAGTGATGGGGCTTTCCATGCCCGGACCTAGAGAGCAGCTTCAGGGGCCTTAGAAAGTGAGAGCCCAGCATCCTATCCTGTCCTGGGCCCACAGGCTTTACCTGGGCCCCATGGTTATGCCCCAGGCAGTGGGGTGGGGGTGGGGGTGTTCTTGGCTTGTCAGCAAACAGTTGACACCTGTCCAACGCAGGAACTGGTGGTTATGATCTTTCATCCCAAATGCCCAAGCCCAGCCACCGCTGCAGGGTTTCCATGAGTGGCGGTGCTGGGGAGAGTGGGCGATGCTCTCACACAGTTAACAATTCAGTCCACGGTTTTGGGGGAGGGTATCCTTCCTGTAGCCCAAAGATTGAGTGCTGGTGCCATGCACGTGGAAGAGTCCGTCCTCCGTGTCTTCCTCTCACTACCCTTATCCAGGGTTCTTGTGAGATCTAGGATCACAGTGTCCTGGATGAAGTAACTTGCATGCAGTGACACAGAAATTTGGGTGAAAGTTCAGGGTAGAGCCTACATCTTTGGACACCCGCCCAGGACTCCGGTCACTGTACTTCTACGTCTCCGACAGGAGCCCCGTGTGGAGTTTCCTCCTGGCACAACAGAATTTTTGTTAAACTCTAGAGAGGTGTTACTTGAGGTAGTAACCTGGGAGGGCTCCAAACCTCATAGGATGCCGTGTCCTCGGTGCTCAGGCTGTGTCCTTGGCACAGCTGACCTTAACTGAATGAGGTTCCTTCCCCTGCTTAGAGGGAGATACCTCCTGATTTAGAAGGGTGCGGCTTCCGTCTTCCTACGAACACCAGGGGTAGTGTCCATGTTCTTCCTCTTCCTCTTCTCAGGAGTTCCAGGACCTCTGGCCTCAGTTATCCCTGGTCATTGACGGGGGACCCATTGGCGATGGTCAGAGCCCTGAGTATCGTCTGGGTTCAACTGTGGTTGACTTGTCCGTACCTGGCAAGTTTGGCATCATTCGTCCAGGCTGGTAAGTCTCTACTGTGGCATGGGGATAGAATTTCAGGAAGGTTGGGGCGTGGGGGGTAGAGTGGGGAGGAAAACTTAACAAAATAAAGGTTGGCACTCCTGCCTTGTCTGGAGCAGGGTGGGCAGGTTTGGAGAAGTGGTGGATGGAGAGGACTAAGTTTGCTGGTGTTTGCTGGCTTTTTGAGGATTCAAAGGATTCATCAAGGGTTTGGGGAAGAGAGTATAGTCAAGACCAGAGGATTTAGAGGTCGCTGATCGCCAGACTCTGGTGGGCTCAGGGCTTTGAGAAGTCAGATTTTAACTGCCCTCCGTTTCTTCCTCAGTGCCTTAGAAAGTACTACAGCCATCCTCCGACAGAAGTACGGGCTGCTCCCCTCACACGGATCCTGCTCGTGAACCTCAGGAAGAGGGAGGGCCGGAGGACTGGTACTGGACACTATGTGTCTGTCCACTGGGGACTGGCAAGGTCTCATTGACAGAGGCCACTGGGGCTACAATGTTACTAGTCTGACTCTTAAAAGCAACTTATCTTTCTGAACACTGTAGACCAGGCTCTCACGCCTGGTGGGGAAGGTCATATTTATTATCTGTAATTTCCTGTATCAGCCAAAAGCTAACTAGAGACTGTATTTGAGAACATTCCTAGGATGGCCTTGTTTTAATAAGTTTCTTTTTTTTTTGGAAACTTTTTGAAAGATAATTTGAGGCACAGATTCAAAGTCCAGTCAGAGCCCCCCGCTCAGGGGTGGTGGTGGCTTTTAAGGTCCAAATCCGCCAGAGCACCAGCTGGTGCTGTGTAAGAGTCTCCAGTGAACAAAGGCATATGTTTGGGTACCTGAAGCTAGAACCAGAGTAGGATAAAGACTGTTGAGCCGCAGGCCCGACACGATTTCCTCTGAACTGGAGAGGCGGCGGTAAGGCCTGGTGGAAAGAGTCATTACTTCGGACTATGGGTGGGAAGTGAGCTCAGTTATAATGGTGTGGGGGTGGGGAAGTCCAAATCAAAGAATGCTGGAAAACAAATCTACTATTCTTTCCAGCCTGTGGCTTTTTTTCTTATTTATTCATAAAATAAATTAATGAGTTATGCCTGCAACACCTTTATTTGAATCCGGTATGTAATCAGAAGCCTGTATCTCCATTCACATGTGTACCAAGTGTTAAACAGAATGATTATTGGCTATTTGAGCCTTATTTCTCCTTGATAGAAAATGTTCTGTAAATAGTTTATTTTTCTTCTTTTGAATTATTTCTCTAGGGCAGGATTACAGGGTCAAAGTGTAAGAACGTTTCTATGGCTCTTGCTACAGATTAGCCTTGGAAAGAACTGATCAAGCTGCAGTGAATGAGAATTGCTGTTCCTGGCTCTGAACTTGCCATAAGTTTAGTATTTTCCAAACCATGTATGTGTGAAATGAAGCCCCAGTGTTTCTCCATCCTGGAAGGTTCTGCAGGCCACAGTCCAGCGCCGTGCTCCTGCCCCGATCTGCCCTGTCATCGGTGGCATTCAGTGCCCATTACCTAACTGGAGCTGGGGGTCCTGTGGTAATCCGTAGGCCCCACTTCCTCCCCTCCTTCCTGGCACCCTGGTCCCACAACTAGGATTCAGGCTGGAGCCCTTAAAGTAATGCACATATTACAAGTAGCTACTTTTTTTTTTTTTTCCAAGTAGCTCCTAAATCTTGCCAAGAAGGTATCCCAGGACCTGTTTCAAGGGCCCCTGCAATGAGTATATTAGTGTATTTGTAAATAAGCACTGGTTTGTTAAGCCTCCCCTCTAAAAATCTTGCTTACGCTTCTCATTTCTTAAGCAAACTCACTCTTTGTGTGCTGCCCCTGGCCACCTCATCTCACGTGTCAGTTTGTCACAGCATTTGAGGGAGAGGAAGGCTTGAAGAGAGCAAAAGGAATGCTTACTTGAGAATACCACGTCATATTTAATTAATACAAATCACAGTAGCACTGAAAATGGCTCTACTGAGTGGCCTCATTCAGTTTAGGCAGCTAAAGGGAGGGAGGATGTCCTAGTCCTCTCCCTGGAGCTAAATGGTCATCTGGGGAAATGTGGGCTCTGGGGCACAGAGGTATTTTCTCAGAGGAACAAGAACTGAACTCCCAACACTGGGCAAAACTGCGAAGAGGAAAGACTGTGCTCAGGTACTAGCTACAAGGCCACGCCAAATAAGGAAAGCTGGATCCTGTAAGCTTCTGGAAGAAAGGAACCTTCCCAGGTCAAGTTTCTCCCTAGTGCCTAGCACATAGTAAGGTGCTCCGTTAGTATGTGTTTAATGAATGTATGAACGCTCAGGATTATTTCCTGATCATTGTGTTCAGGAGGCTACTGGGAAGGGCTCAGTTTCCCTCTTGGAAGTCTCAGATAACGGTTCCGTCACTTGGAGAAGACGGACGCCAGGGGAAGAAGGCTGACGAGGGAGCAGGGCGCGCGAGCCCAGAGCCCTGACCTCCCGAGAGCAGTGACCTGGTGACTGCTACCCAACGCCCACCTGCTGAGGTCCAAGCTCCAAGGGATTATCTTAAAGTGTTAAGGACAGGATGTGGAGTGGCCCTGGGCTGGGGCCAGTCACCTGCCAGCCTCTGGGACCCCACCTCATTTCCCATCACTGCAGAGCATCCCAGCGCCCGCTTGCCGAGAAACCAGCTCCGTTCCACACGGGCCCGGGCCTGATGGCCCACCCAGAGGTGCCCTGCCGCTGACCTGGAGACGGGCGAGTGCCTACAACCTCGGCCAAGCCCCACGCGGTGACCCCTTCCGGCGAGGCCAGGACGTTGGCTCCTCACATCAGCCATTGCTCTTTCTCTTTGATGAAGTGCTCTGCCCAGCGGCGGGTCAGCTCCAGGTACAGGCTGGGCTGGTGAGGCAGGTAGTCCAGATACAGACGCGTCGGCGTCTTCTTGGGAACGGCCTTCTCGATCTGGGTGCCCTCGTGCCATTCGTTGAACGAGGTGATGGAGACGATCTCGGGCCTCACCATCAGGGCCGCCTGCAGGGCCGTCTCATAGTACTTGCCGTTGACCCTGTTCCGAGTGTTGTGGTTGTTCCAAGGCCGGATGCTGGTGTCAATGTAGCCAGGCCCCACACTGGGGATGAACAGGAGGTTGTTGGCATCACAGAAGTTCTTCACGGCTTTCCAGTTCTGGTGGGAGGAGCCGAAGGAGAAACCGTTGGAGGCGAAGTAGGTGTACATGCCGTCAAACCCGGCAGCCAGGATGTCGTGCGTGTGGCCCTCCTCCACCAGCAGCGCGATGAAGACCCCGTCGTAGGGGGTGTTGCGGATGGAGTGGGGCCCGTTGGGTGTCAGGAGGTGGGCCCAGGCCTCCGGGGATGTCAGGTATGAGTCGTAGATATAAAAGAGTGGGAGGCTCTTACCCATGCTGTTCTTATAGCGGTAAAACGCACCGTGGGAGCCATACCTGAGGAGCGGGAGGGAGGAGAACATGAGCCGAGGCCTGGTGGGGGTGGGCGCAGCGGGCACAGCCGCAGGACGAGCCCCCAATCAGATCTTTCCCGACGCCCAAGGTGATTGTGGATCCAGCCAGTGCCCCCGTTGGATGACTCCTGCCTCTGAGCTAGAAGCTAGCGCCCACCCTCCTCTCACAGCTGCCTTCACTGGAGCGAGCCGCAGCACGCCACCTCCCCCTTCCACTGGGACGCGGCAGCCACCTAATCAGTCTCCAGGCTCCCGTTTCTGGCTCCCTATAATCCACTCTAAGGCGTGAACCGGGTCCTGAACTGGGTCCGAAGGCTCCCTACCGAGGCCTGCAAGGCCCCTCCTACTTGGTCTGGCCCAGCCCACCTCCATCCCTCCTAGCTCCCCGTCTCCCCACACCAGCTACACTCGCCTTTTGTTCTGCTGCCAAACCTGCCCCATCATGGGCCTTTGGATCGACAGCCCTCGGTCTAGAATTTAATGCCTGCCCCAGATCAGGCAGAGCTGAGCCTTCCTTCAGGTGTTAGCTCACAGGTCATCTCAGAGATGTCTAGCCCCCATTCTCAGGCGTGCTCTAACAATACCCTGCTCTACTCTTATTACTTTCTCACAGTGTGGGCCAACTATTGGATTTTTCACGTGGAACGACTGCTTCACTGCATCCACACCCTAGAACACAAATTTTTGCTAGCCCTCCCCAATCCTGAACGACAGGCTTAGGACGGTGCCCGGGCACCTGAGGGCCCTCAGATATTTTTTGAATGAACGGATGAGACCTGCGAGCACTGTCCCAGCCCCTTTCACATATATTAACCCGTGGAACTCTCACAAGACTCAGGTTAACAGGCTAGCATCACGTGACAGGTTGGAGACAGCAGACCTGGCATTCACACCCAGGTTGCCGCCTCCAAGCCTCACACTCTGTTACTATGAAGCAGCTGCTGGGGACACAGGCATTCTGCCCGGGTGTCTCTTGACGTACCCCTCGAAATCTATCCCCGCCCCCTTTTTGATCCCTATCAAAATCCAGGTCCCACAGCAGCCTTACGTGTCAATGATGTACTTGATGTTGTCATGCAGCGTGATGTCATCCCGGCCCTTGTAGGGTTGGATATGGAAGGCCACCTGCCACAACAGAGGAGGGACTGGTCAGGTGAGTCTGTGCCCAGGGGCCACAACCTATTAAGGCTCATGCTCCACTAGGGTTTTGGGGAGAAGACCTGGCAACGGTGGGCATAACAGAGATAAAAGCAGCCACTGCCTCGGGGCCAAAAAAAATGGGCAAGAAGGGGATCCCTGGGTGGCTCAGTGGTTTAGCGCCTGCCTTCAGCCCAGGGCGTGATCCTGGAGACCCGGGATCGAGTCCCACATCAGGCCCCCTGCATGGAGCCTGCTTCCTCCCT